TGTATCTTTTACAATGCAGTTTATCAATGACCACGTGGAAACCTTTTCCTTAATTCCCGTTCCTCATTGTGGCCCTGTAATGCTTTATTCCAGTCCCAAATGCATTGCTGTTAACTTTTTGGTTTCCTGATTAATTTGCGCGGGTTGGGAGATCAGGCATCTATGAGGTAGAAATCAAAATTTTTCCTTATCTTTTAATTTTTTTCCTTGGATTATTCTTTTGTATGTATGAATATATTGAGTTGATTGGCCGAATATTGCTTTTTCGTTGGACAGATTCCTCAGCATGTAGCAACTCGGCGGAGGTTGTGGCTATCCCTTGTTCTATCCCTATGGTTTTACTGTGTATAATTCAACAATGGCCTCCTTCCTCTCTGCCATTAACATCTTTGTGGTTTGCCCTCTCAGCTTGGGGAGCTTTGAAGACTCGTTGCATCAATGAAGAAGTGTGAGAAGGAACTCAAGAAACAGTACTAAGTATGATGTGTATGTTGTCCATAGTTTCTTTTTCTTTTCGATGTTAATAATACATTTAATTAACCCCATTTTCCATGATTGCGGAACGAACAATACTAATACCATGGATGGATGTAGTTGATGAAGCAGTTGGACTGCTCAGTTGGTGATTGGAGCCTTTGGATTTGTCGTCACGTTCCTAACATGTTGCTATTTACGTTCATTTTTCCCTTACAATCGTGCGGAAAGATTATATGTAGCAACTTTTGTCAATGTGAAAAATCTTGTTTTCTTTGCCAATATAAATAATCTCATCGAAACATTCTAAAGTCACAAGATGAAAGATAAAATACAATAAATCTCAAAAGATGTTGTTATTTCAAAAAGAGAAAATTAATTAATATGCAATGGCATGCCAAATTTCAGAATTTAATTCGTCCAATAACATAGTCAAAACATAGCTCCCAGTCAATATCTTAGTAGGGTTACAGCATCTATGCATACATTGTTATACTTGTCAAAAGACAAGTGGTTTCATAATTTATACATGATTCATTTTTGAATTTTCTTTTTCTTCTTGGATGGTTCAGCCCCTAGAATATTGAATTACATTCAAAAGAAATGAGATTTCATTGAAATCCCAATAGCAGGATAAATCAACTATAACATCAAACATGCATCATCATTAAGCATTTCAACATTAGCTATCATTAGAGAAATAATTCTCTCATAATTAGGCAATCTCTAACATACAATACCCAAGGCAATATAATGGAAGGAGTAGCCACATCACAATCATCATAGTTCAACAACATAATAGCAATCATCCATGCATTAATAATTAATGCAATGTCAATATTAAAAGTTAATTAAATCTTGCTACGTTGATCCAATTGCTTCTTTGATCTTTCTTCTTGCTCCTTCCCTCCACAAATATCAAAGCCTAAATATTACATTGCAAAAAAGGGCAACCACATTACAACTTTAAACCACACAAGACTCAAAAGCAACACTTAAGTAACCCCTTAACCCTTAATTCTTTGAATTTTAGAGCTTTGTTTTCTTTAATCTAAGAATTACCCTCTTAGGACAATCCTACATAATTTCTCATGTAGAATCCAAATATGAACTTGGATTCATGAAAGGAAAACTTCTTTCCCAAGTAATAGTGTTGGCTGAACAGGGGTTCTTGAAATCCAAAAATTCCAACTTTAATTCTAATACTTGTTCTTTAGGTTTACCCTACACCATTTTCCATTTTAAACATAATAGAAGCATCAAAAATATGAAAATCACATCCTAGGGCACTAATTTCAGATTGGCCAAACAGCACTATCAACAACCAAAACATGAAATCTTTCACATATCAACACAAAAACCACTTGAAACAAGCTCTATTCAATGTGCTTTAGCTAGGTATAACATCAAAACCTCCTTCCCCTAACCCTATAACATTTTGGCCAGCACCTCCCTCTTAGGGAAACAACATTTTCCAACCATTCAAAGCAAGGAATCAAAGCAAGAAACATAATAAAACAACCTACTAACCTTAGATCCAAGCTTGGTTGATCAAAGGTAGTAGCTTTCCTTCTGGTTGCACTTCAATAATCAAATTGGCAAGAACTTTCCCAAGGTTGGACAAAATGGTGGTTTTGTGAGGGGGGGAGTATCTATTTATAGGCCAAGTCCATACAATTGCCATCCAAGATCAATCAAATTATTATAATGAGGTGTTAAGTTCCTATATCTTGAACCCTTTTCCACTGTTAAATTAATTCCAAATGAAAATCAATTTCCAAAGTCAAAATCCTCTCCACCCTTGGCTTGACAAATGGCCTTTAAATCCTCTCCATTGGTGACTTGACAAGTGGCAACTTGTGGGCCAAGTAAAAGATAAGAGAGAGCTTTTCACTTTATCAATACACTTTGCTCTGAGATTAATTCTTATTTTATAATTACAATATTCTGGCTACTATAGTTATTTTTTGTCAGATCTGTAACACATTCTTCTCATTTTCCTCTTCACAAAATGCCCTCCTTTATCACCGTCTCAATTTTCTACTAATTACAAAGAAAAACTATTTTTCTTTTTATAGTGTTTTCTTTATTCGGCAAAGCTGTTAAGAAATTTATGAGCATTTAAGGGCCTCTCTTCTACTTTATAATCTCTTATAATTCCTTAGAATACCTTGTGAATTTTCTTGAGATTTAATTTTCCTTACAGGTATTTATTTGGAATTTTCCAAATAAAAGACCTTAATTTGGCCTAATTCAAACTTAAATTCCTTTATAATTTTTCTAGGGATAATTTGGGCATAAAATTTCTTATACACTATCATATAATTCTCAATGTACATTATCCCTATTTTTTCTCAATTTTCTGAGCCTTGAAAATATTTTTTTCCTAATTACTTTTTGGTCAATTTCCTTTAATTAGTCAAGCTCTTAAAACTGACTGGAAAATCAGAATAAATACTTACCCATCAAATTCTTCCTTTTAAAATTAATATAGTGTCCAGGGGACTTTTTCCTAGGTTCCATAATTTTTGGGAATTTCTAACATATTTCTAAAATTACATAAGCTGCTCATAACTTTTGAAAAAATGTATTTTGCCCCAATACCGACATAAATTTTAGGAATTGTATCCTTCTATTTGTTCCTATTATTCTAGCCCTTAAATGCCTAGGAATATCCTTACTCCTATTTACTAAATTACTAGATGTGATACTGGTTAAACTATGCTGCTGTTTTATATATGTGTACAAAGGTTATAAATAAAAATTAAAGGTTATGTCATGATGTTGTTCCTTTTGTAGTTGAAAAGAAATAACAAGTATAGTGAGGACGAGACGTAACATACAAATAGGGAAAGGACTGAACAGGCCCCTATTGACCCGATTCAAATAATAATGAACCGATTAGAGGAATAACAAAAAATGATACAAGAGTTATGAGCAACCTAAGCTCGTTAGGAACAAGAAAAGGATGCTGTAATAGCAGTAGCAGTAATAGTAGCCATAGCACAGTTACAACGACCTGAGCAAGGAGCAACTAGGATAGTCTAACAAGTCCAACCCTAAACCCAGGAATCGATAGTAGAGCAAGCAAGGCCTGTAAAGGAACCAAATAATTTACAATAGTGGATTTCGCACTTTTGCAAGCATAATCCACCAGCATTTGAGGGCACACTAGATATGCAAATAGCCAAAGACTGGATTACCCAGTTAGAGAAAATGTTTAGAGTGATGGATTGCTCATTTGAGACTAAAGCACAGATGGCAATCTACAAGTTAGAGGAAAAAGCTAATAGGTGATGGAAGAACTCAGAGATAGACCTTCAAGCTGTTGAGACCCCGATCACTTGGGAATCTTTTAAGGACCAGTTCTTCTAGAAGTATTTTCTTAAATCAGTGCGGGATAAGAAAGAAGCTGAATTTCTCACTATAAAGCAAGCGGAAAATGAACCTTTCGATGAGTATTTGGCAAGATACATTAAGTTATCTTGGTAATCTACCTATCTGCAACATATGAATGATGAATAGTGGTTCACTAAGAAAACGATTAGGGGCCTAAGACTAGAGCTAAGAGAAAATGTAGCCTCAAGGAAAATTAAACATTTCAGTAAAGCAGTGGAAGCCTACCGAATCACTGAAAGTAGTTAGAATTATTATGGTCATGCTAGGATAATGTAACATCTCGAAAATCTTAACCCTGAGATGAAAGGAATTAAATAGATCAAGGGCTAGTTGAGGTAGAGGAAATTATAGCTAGCACCAGTATGAATTTTGAAATCCGGATAAAGGCCAGACTGATATTTTAAATATCGTTTAAAGAAATATTTAATTGAGAATTTAAGTTAGAAATTCTCAAAAATTCTCAAAAAATTATGAAAAATAGAAATAAAGGTTAAGAGACTATATTTGAGGTCCAAAGGAATTATTAGAAGGGAAATAAATAAATGTAGAATTTTCTATATTTACAGGAATTTTTGGTTATACTGATTAAGAGTAACCAAAAGTTAATTATGAAAAATATTTAGAGGCCTCAATGATTTTGGAAAAAAATATAGGAAATTATCTTGGAGGATTATAATAATTTAAATAGCCACTCTTATGTACAAAATTCATCCATGCCATCACAATCTTACAGAAAGAAAGTCTTGTCTAGTCCTTAGGATCATCTAGCTAAAACTTCAGAAATAGTTACTCCATTGACGGAGTCATGGGTAGTATTTTTTGATGAAGGCTCTTTCTCCGTGAAACCTCTTCCAACAGAAAATGCAGGTTGTGTTGGCCTTGGAAGGTTCACTGAGTCACTTGCAAGCATAAGTACTACACTTGACATTGTTGGTCTGTCTGCTACATCTTCTTGCACACATAAGAGGCCGATTTGGATGCGCTTGAGAACTTCAGAAGGTTCAAATGACCTTTCTAATATTGGATCCATTAGGTCCAAGCCCTTCCCTTCACACCAGAGCCTCCATGCCTACATGGTAAATGCGTTTTTAGGTTAGATTAAAAAGCAAATTTTATAAGAAAAATGCTTTAAGTTTTAGTTAGTTTTTCAAGTAGTTGGTTTAGGATTTTTTCAATAAAATTATGGCCCATGGAGCAATGTTTCTGAAGTCATCAAGGATATTTCAATTGCTTGAAAGGAAAAGGCATATTTTGTTTTTTCAAAGTTGGAATCAGATCTTGGCCTAAGAAGATGAATTGTGTTGTTACTGTTCAAAAGCTTGAAAATTCCAATTGATTTGTTCCCTGTGGTATATTGTCGAGGAAGAGAGGCAGTCAGAAAGCATACATATATGAGAAGGCTTTGATCGTGCTCTGAAAGGTAGAATCTACCATTCTTTTTTCCACTAATGATTTCTAGTAGGAGAACACCAAAGCTAAATACATATGATTTTATTGAAAACAAGCCTTCCATAGCATATTCTGGAGCCATGTAACCACTGCTTAGAATAAAAATAAATAAATCAATATAGTTAATTTTATGTTGTGTATTCATATGAAAATATTGGCTTTCAAATGCTATAACAATAACAGAAGGCGTTATAAATTGAACTTACTAGGTACCCACAACTCTGATAGTATTTGCTTGCCTTTGGTCGCCTCCAAAAACTCTTGCTAATCCAAAATCTGAAATTTTTGGATTCATTTCATGGTCTAACAGTATATTACTAGCTTTTAGATCCCTATGAATAACCCTTAGTCTAGAGTCTTCATCGAGATACAAAAGTCCTTTTGCAGTTCCATTAATGATGCTCAATCGCAGCTTCCATTCCAGCTGGGAACGCTTCTCCATATCTGAAAGCAATAAAATTATAAGAATTGCAGAGTCTGTTGATACCCAGATGAAATGGGATTAATGAGAAAAAGTTGAACGGCAAATTTTTATAAATATAAAATGCCACCCATACCCAATAGGGATGTTTGTAAAAATTTAGTGAAACTCAAAAGAAGTATGTGTAACTTACCGAAGAGGTGAAAATCGAGGCTAGAATTAGGCATGTACTCATAAACAAGTAGCTTTTCATTTTGCTCAATGCAGCAAGCTAACAATCTCACAAGGTTCCGATGCTGCAATTTTGCAATCAATATCACTTCATTCTTTAACTCTTTTAATCCTTACCCTGAAGTTTTTGACAGCCTCTTTACTGCTATTTCCTTCCCATCAGGTAAAACACCCTGTAACCATCATTTTTTTTGCTTTCAAACGTAAGAAAGTTGAAAGAGAAACAATTAAACTTGAATAAATCTGATTTATCTTTGAAGTTTTCAAGTTTATAGTCACATCCTCCTTGCTTTGAATTTTGCAAAGCTACTGTCTTTCAAAGGAGAGATTTTACCTTGAGCAATTTTTTTACCTTAGAAACTTCAAGTAGCCTGATCCAATAATGCAAAATTACCTAAAGATTAATGACCTTTTCAAAGCTTAATATAAGAGATGTTAGTGCAAATTTTTTCTTTTTACGGGGATCCAAGTAGTGTGAAGAAACCTCTCCTAAGAGCCAAGTTGGAAGAACTAACATATAAAGTATTTCATACAATTTCAATTGGAACTAAGTATCCCATACATTATCACCATCAATTTCCTCCTATGGAGAGTTGATGTCTTGGAAGGCACTTACTGTGCCACTTCATTCACCTTCTATGTTGACTAAAGTTGCCAACTTACAAACTCCGATGCTAATGGATGGGCATCTTAAAGTTGAGAACTCTTCAACATAAGTTAGATATTGAGATAGGAGGACTAACTTGCTTAAATACTCTAGTACAATATCTCATTAACCTGGTCTCCGAAATCCCATAACCTAGTCTGGTCTCCCTTGATTTCAAAATTTTAAGTGTAGGATTAGGTTAAAGAAAGTTCTAACATAAACTAAATCTAAGAATGTTGGGAAGGTGGAGAAGGTGAAAATAACTTCAATAAGCAAGTGTATGTAGTATGTAAATTCAGTACCTTGTATACAGAGCCAAATCCACCTTTTCCCAATTTACATTCTTCAGAAAAGTTACAAGTAGTTTGAAGAATAGTTTTCAGGGACATTATCGGAAGGTCAGTACTCATAGAATTCTCTTCGTCAGTTTGATCCTGAGAAAATACTGGATTTAGCCCATCTTCCTGCACTGCTTGTTTGTCTGCAATCATTGTTATCAAGCATAATAAGACAATAAAAATTTATGCCCCATTTGTTGAATGAAATTCTTGAAGACTTTTCACTTAGAACTTAACCTTTTTTCTTTCTCAAGAACCTGAAGTAGATTGTGCAGAAAACCAGTAGAGCTAGTACTACTACTACACTTATAACAACGATAACTCTAAGCATTGACCTGTTACTACTTTCCTCACCTGCAAAATTGCAAAATAAATAAAAAAAATAAAATTGCAGCCTATTTTTTTCAAGGTTTTCTGACCTGGAAAGTAATTTACAAGAGGTTCATCTTTAGTTTTCACATGCTCACTGACAATGAAAGATGCAAACGGATTTGCATATACAATCAAACTTTTGATGACTATTTTTAGAATATCTTCAAGAAAAGAGGTTATTTTCACGTTTATGTCAACATATCATATTATTTACAAGTTGTGAATAGCACAATTTATTTTCTGAGTTCCATGAAATGCACAAAACTGCACCTACTATATCATGAAAGAAACAAAATGGTACCTGGCTGGGGCGTTGGAGCAATCAACCCAGTATCATTTACAAAGAAAGGCTGAGTCTCATACATAACAATACAGCTAGGAGAAAAGATTCTCCAAACCCTCTTGCCTTCACAGCAATTCTCAACTTCTTCAAGCATATTGCTCAGACATGTTCTGCACTCTTCACTGGTTATGTCTCTGCTGCACTGAACCCAACCATACCTTTTCTGGGTGCCATTTATGTTGAACACGTGTGTCCCAAACATCAGGTTTGTCTCTGAACCTGTCTGTATCAAACCGTTCATCAGAATCCTAGCGTCACTGTCGAACTCTCCTGCACTCGTTAAGTTTTGTGTTGCATCAAACATGGGAATCCGAGGCCTTAGAGTTAGATTGCCGAAGAAATCCTCGTTGGAGTACCTATTTAATACTAGCAGAATTTCTTTCATGAATCAAGTCGGTGACATAAATTCATGTAATCAATACAAATGGTATAATTATAGTCTGATCATGATGATAAATTCTTATCTTATACATTCAAGAAGATTAATACCATCTTTAGTCCCTAAAATTGGACTTCGTTTTGGTTTTCATTCTTGAAACTTGAAACCAATAGTCTTGGTCCTTAAAATTTGACCTTATTTTGGTCCATCTAAAAACACTAGTTTCAAACTTTAGAGACTACAAATGGTATCAACCAGTATTCCAGATATAAATTTTGATTGACAACTTCTTGCTTAAGTAGACCCATATACAAGTTACTTACAGAAATATAAATTTAACAGGATATACTGAGAAGGCAAAATGGGTGCCATAAAACTGCAGTAGCATTATTGGGACAATGCTGTTGGATCAATCTGCTAGAATCTTGAACACAAGAATGACATAAACTTGAATTCACATCCCCTCTACAAAGATAAAGTCCATACACCTTATCTTTATCACTACCTGCAGTTCTGTTACCAAATCCATTGCCGGTTGAAGCATCAAAAAAAAGTGAAGATATGAGATTCTTGAGATTGCTTTGGTATTTGCTTGATGGAGCCACACCACTTCGGTCCAAACATGCATATCTATAATCAAGCGGCTCTGCTTCTTGTTCTGCGCTTGTAGTGTTGGTCTTGCAGATGGATTTAGTATTATTGAGCTGAAGCTGGTTGTATGGGCTGCAATAAGTAATAAGGAGAGAAAGTGGAAGAAGAAGAATGAGAGCAGAAACGAGGATTTGTGTGCCATGATTGTTATTACCATGATAGTTTGTGTGATATTTGTGGGAGTTTAAGGAGGGATTTATTTAGTTTTGTAAAGATGATAGAATTTTCAAAGGTTTGGAGTTTATGAGCCGTCAAGGAACGTAGTGGGTGGGTGATGGCTTGATTCTTTTGACCATGTTGAGAATAGATTTTTTTTTGGGAAAATGACAACAAAATACCACCTGAATTTCAAAAAGACAAATAAGGCACCTGAATAAGCAAAATGACAAATAGGGCACTGGGTACCAATCTGGAATTCAAATTTTTGGCCAAAAGACTGAAATGCCCTTATTAGTGAGGTAAAAGGAAGTGAAACTGAAACAAAAATAAACATAGGAGCACCGGTTGAGCTGCACATAAAGAAGGAAAGAGGAATGCTGGAGCAACACATTAAAGTTGAAAAGAGGTAAGTTTAAGTCGGTAGTCTTTGGAAATGGTATAATCTTACTCCTCCGCATCACCATTTTGTTGGGATTGCTGATTTAATAGATTTTGGTTGTGGGCAAGAGGGTTTGTAGCAAGAGAGAGAGTGAACATGTCGCATTACGTGATGGTGGGGTTTGGGTAGTTCTTTTTTGTGTCTGCTTTATGGCGCAATGGTGGGGACGGGTGTGTTGGAATGAGGTTTTATACTTTATATTGACTATTTCGAATGACGTAGCGGAAATAAAAAAAGGTGGCAAGCAATTACGTAGACGTAAGTTTGCGTGAAGTTTGCGTTCAGGTGGTGAACGTTGTTAAAATCAATAATAGAGTTGTGAAACCCTATAATAAAGTTGCGAATAGAAGAAAAGTTTCTCTCTGTGTGTTTTGGGTGTCACGTATATTGATGGAAACTAATTGGCAGAGAAGTTAATTTTTTATTATTTAATGTTGTTTGCTGCAGGTTAGCAAGTGGTGATGTCTTGTAACATTGTATCAACATCTTCAAAAAGACTTGCTTGTTATTTTCACTTAGATGGGAAGTTTGTAGAAAATGACGATGGCGAAGTTAAATACTGTGGTGGGACTGTCAGAGTAAGAGTAATAAATGAGGGTACAAAACTTGAAGATTTGAGGACAATGATAGGAGAATGGTTCAGCATGGATTGTCATGGCTGTGATATTAAATACACTTCGAGTTTTGATGAGAGGGTATTGGTAGATCTTATAGATGATGGTGAAGTTGATAATCTATTTTAATATAATGATCGTAATGCACATATTTATATAGCACATAAAGGTAGTGACAATGTGGAGGAAGGAATGGGTTATCCAGAAACGTAAGTGAGAAATTTTTTTTTGTGGTTATGAAAGTTGATAATTGTTGTAATATTGTAGTAAATCTCTTAACAACAGTGGTAATTATAAATGCAGGATCTCAAGAATGGTAGAACTGTCAGAACAAAGTGATGAGCCTACGTTAGAGGGAAATGCTTTGGAAAATACAAGTTCTGGAGGCAGTGAAAGACCTAATGTAAGCTTGCCATACGGAGTAGTGAGTACACCTACACCTTTGCTGGAGATGAATTCTTTGAAATGGAAGAAATTGTTGTTAGGACG